TGCTTAACATTAACCCTCTGAGTAGACATATCGACTTGAAAAGGGCCAAGACTTCACCCACTGACTTCAGTGGGACTGCTCGGTTCACAGGCTGTCTTCCTCCAGGCCCCAGGGGTGTTCAACCCGCCACTCTGCCTCAGGCCCCGCCCCCACCCAACCCATTTTCCCAAGCCTCCACCCCCACCCCGCCTCTTTCTGTCCCCACTCCACCCCCACCTCATCTCTTCCCGCAGAAGCTGATCATGGCAGGCAGTAGGCTCTGGGAGGGAAGGTGAGGAGTTGATTGGCGGGGCCACCGGTGGGTGGTGCTGGGAGGCAGGGGGGTAGACTGGCTGCCAGTGGGTGCTAAGCACCCAATAATTTTTTTTCTGTGGGTGCTCCAGCCCTGAAGCACCCATGGAGTTGGTGCCTATGACTCAGTTACTTAGGCATGTACTGAAGTCCCTTGCTGAACTGGGACCTTGAAAAGCAACTGTGAGTTCACAAAATCTCACCCCTCATATAATTTTAAGCCATGTTTTCCCACACACCCTCCCCAGGGTGGCATTTTTCTAGCTTAAAGGGAAGTCCGAGCTATATATTAGGTACGGCTACCCAGAGAAGCTCAGAAGTCACAAAGTGGGCCTATCCATAGCAGGTAGACCATTTTTTCTTTTACAATCTTTCTGTCTCCCTTCTTTGATTCTCTGCCTCCTTCCTGCAGTGCTTCTGGGTGTGTTCCATGTTGCCCACATTCTGCTAAAGGTAATATCCACCTTGTCTCTCTAATATCCTGGGACCAACATGACTACAATGACACTGCATACACGATACATACTGTCATGTGGGGAAGCTTTCAGTTTCTCCTCATTCATTTCAGCTGTTGACATCATTTGATATACAGGCCGTGTCTGGGGTCTCAAGAGCATGGATGGGAAAGGGTATTTTCAAGACAGTTTTAGGTAAGGAATATTTCCCCTCTTGTGTCTAAAATCCAGTGGAGGATGGAGAAGAAAGGGCACCAGGGACAATGCAACTTAATGACCTGGTGCTTCCTCTCATGGTAAAGATAACCATGTGCATTATTATTATAGCATCTCTCTTCCAAGGATCTTCAAACTCTTCATAAAAAGAGTAATCACTTCTCACTCCCATCCCTGTGGGTGGGAGTGATAAAGTTGGCCAAGCAACGGGAAAACGCATTTGCAAATTCTGATTCACCATTCAGATTGATCATATTACTGCCCTTTTTAAACTTAAAAAGAAAAGGAGTACTTGTGGCACCTTAGAGACTAACCAATTTATTTGAGCATACAGTATGCATCCGATGAAGTGAGCTGTAGCTCATGAAAGCTTATGCTCAAATAAATTGGTTAATCTCTAAGATGCCACAAGTACTCCTTTTCTTTTTGCGAATACAGACTAACACGGCTGTTACTCTGAAACCTTTTTAAACTTGTTTTCTCTTAAAATTAGTTTGTGTTCATCCCTTTGACTGTTTGGAAATATGATGTTACCTGCCTGAATCCCTGTATGCACACATGAACAAAAGTATAAAACATCCAGTCAGAAAATGGAAACTTCATATTCCTCCAGTGACCAATCACACACAACTCAAAGTTCTCAGTTCATGGAGAGTCCCAGAAACTGCAATTTGTTCAGATAAAATCTTCACTGGTTTGTGCATGAATGGGAAAAAGGGACTAATTGGTCCAATAAATTGTGCTTATGAGTAAATAATTCACCCAGTTCTAGTAAGAATCATCATCCCCATTTTACAATGGAAAAACTGGGGCACAGAAAGGTGAAGTGATTTGGCCAAGGAATGCTACTCACAGATCTAGAAACAGAACCTAGGAGTTCTGACTCCCAGTGCCTCGCCTATAACTATTAGCCAACTGGATAATGAGAAGTTAAGATTCTCAGTTGAATGCTGACAGTAATCAAGATTACCACTAGCTACAGCTGTTCCTAACACAAGGGAAAAGCAACCATCCACTGTGGCACCTATGTATGCTGTGTACCTAGCATTAAAAGAAAAAATCCATGTTCTAAAACTGTTAGGAAAATGCTGGAGAGTGGGGGGAATGTAATCTGGGCAAACTTCCCACTATTCAAACAGATCTGCAATTTCTGATGATTGAGAGGGCTTTTCTTTTAAATGAACTTAAAAAAACTTTCTGTGGGAAGCTCTAGAGTCTTTGGCTATATGAAGAAATGATACACGTCTAAATCTTAACATTCTGAAGTGGATGCAAACGGAAAGAGCCAATAAATAGGCTGTCCTAGTATTTATGGGAAGAGAGAAAGGTTCTTTGTACAGAGCAATAAGCATGAGGTCAGCTGGGCTGTAAAAGCTTGTCATTGATATCTAGAACCTTCCCCTCCAACATCTGCAGCTGTTCCCGTTGCAAAAAGAGTTTAGATTCTCTGCATGGCATGTATGCTGAGTTTGCAGAAACTCTGTATGTGGCTATGCACAGAAATCCCAGCTTCTTTTTGGGGATATGACAGAGCATCTCCAGATTTATTTCCAGACAAAATGTTATTTCAAAGCTGCCTTTTCAGATAAAAAATTAACATTTCCCACCTTAAAAGATTATTAAAACATGTTTTCTTTGTGGTGCTCATCTGCGATTCCTTCCTCTGGGGAAGTACTGGGACAGCTTGCAAGGTTCTTCCCAAAGCTCTGAAGGGTGGAAGTCCACATCACACTTTCACTCACTACTCCACAATTCCAGTGCATCCCTTTCCAACCTCTATCTCACTTGAAGACATAGAATCAATTCTCTGTTGGCCTGCGCCTTGTGCAGTCATTCACTCCAGTGAAAAACTGGTACAAAATGCTCCCATTGTTCAGGTTTTTAATAGCATTTTTACCCACTTTGCCCAGATCAAATTACTGCACTAGGCCCAGGGAATAATGAACGGAGCCCCTAAGATGCATGCTTCCACATTTCCAAACTTTCCACACTGAACCTATTTGACAGAAGCTCCACCACTTGGGAGGAAAACCTGGATTATGTATTTTAAGGATTCTTTCCACACAACAGGATGAGGTTATAGCGCTGTGTATTTGGAATATAAAAATCCAATCAGCTGGAAATATTTCCCAAGGATTATGTACGTTCGTACTTACCTGCCAGAGCAGAACCCTCAGGAAGATTTTGTAAGGGCTGCATCAACACTTGCAAACTTCGTGCCTGGCTCTCGGCATCACTGCAGCTACATTGGTTCTAGCACCGATGCAAGCACTAGTGTGGAGAGGACCTAGATATTCCCAGTACCATATTCTGCTCTGCACTAGTGCTTGCATTGTTATTAGCAACTGAGGCACAGAAGCAAGCATTAAACTTGCTGTTGTAGATGCAAGACAAATTATGAGGTGTATCAAATTTTTAAGGGCCAAATCCAATTGACCATACACATGTGAGTAGTGTGCTTATGCTCACAGGACCACTCACATGAGACAGGTAAGAAAGATCTGACACTAAGACAAAAGCTATAAAATATGTATTAAGTAGCCCATAAGAAGTTATTGATTTTACATGGCAGTTAACTGATCACCTCAAACTCGTGTAAAATCACTGACCAATATTTATCTCGAGCAGTTGCGATATAAACAGTCAAATTTCCATCTTCCCAGGTGAAACCAGAATCCCAGGCTGCATCTTTCCAGTAGATTTCCCAGTTTATCCAAACTCTGACCTCCATGTAAGAAAGTCACAGAAATCAGAGATAGAAAAGATGCTTGGTATTATGTTATCTAGTCCCCCATGCAAGCCAATGGCAATGCTCCCCTTCATTGAACAGGATTGTTCACTGCTGCAGGGATGCTGGAATAATTGATGTAGTGGGGGTGCTGAGAGCCACTGAACCGAACTGTAAACCCTGCATATGATGGAAACCACATCAAGCCGGGGGGTGTGGCAGCCCTCCCAGCACCAGCACCTCTGCACTGCTGTACAGTTACTAAAACGACTTCCCTTTGGAGACTGTTCCATTTCCTAGCTGAGTCCACCATCAGGAAGCCCCTTCTGATTTATAACCCTCATTTTTCCCATTCCTACTTTCATCCCTATGACTCCTTTTTTTTTTTTTAAATCAACCTAAAGAATTCCTCTTCTTCTGGGGTGTCACAATTCTGCCCCACCATTCCATTCAGATCAGAGGTTGACTGTATCCCATACAAATAACTAAACCTATCCCCAAGAGAAAAAGTCTCTTCCACCACCATTTGCAGACCCCTCTTTAATCGAGACAACACAGCTTTCTGCATGAATTCTACTGTCCTGTGTTAGGGTAGCAGCTGCCATTGGATTTACTGCAATAACAACTCACATTGCTTTGAAATCTGTAAGGTGCCAACATCATCCCAAGTGTGAGTTTTCAGAGCCACCTGAGAAGCAGACCACTCACCAAATATTATATACATAGATTTTAAAGGGCAGAAAGAACCATTAGGACCAGCTAGTCTGACTTCCTGCATAACACAGGCCACAGAGTTTCATCTAGTAATTCGTGCATCAAGTTTATGTCATGTAACTGATCTAAAGCATATCTTTTAGAGAAGACATTAATCTTGATTTAAAGACTTAAAGTGATGGAAAGTCCACCAGATCCCTAGATAATTTGTTCCAATGGTTAATTATCCTCACTGTTAAAAAGCTGCACTTTATTTCTAGCCTGAATTCATCTAGCTTCATTGAATCTCATTCTGTTTTGTCAGCTAGATTAAAGAGTCCTCTGTCAGAAACCTTCCCATGTACGTACTTACAGACTGTGATCAAGTCACCTCTTAACCTTCTCTTTGATAAGATGGATAACTGTTCTGAAGCTTCATGAAGGACAAAAGCAATGTTGGTTAAATACAAGGACAAAACAGTAAGTTTAAAAAACCACAAGCCTGGCACAAAGATTCCATTCCCCCTCACCCACATTACCAAGGTGGCTTCTATCACCCAAACCTGCAATTCCCTAAGAAAAAAGTGATTTTAGTAACATCTCTCCTGCAGACTCACTTTCTGGGTCAAATAATAAGGGTCAAAGTCCTCCAGTGGTACAGCAACCAGGCCTTTCGGGATGTCCCCATAGATGAAAGGCAAATTTTTCCCTGCCTCCAGGTCGCTGTTAGGTTTTGGTTTGCTGTCGTCATCGTCATCCCGATGGCTGCTGTCTTGCTTTGGACGCTTCTTCTTCTTTTCCTCTGCAATACGCTTCTCAATGTTAGCCAGAGATTCTGGGGTGAAAGGTTTAAAACTATCAGGGCCTGGTGGTGCGAGCAGCTGCGCTGCCATCTTTTCATCCTGCAGCAGCTTCTTTAGTTATGTTGCACCCAGGACAGGTCAACTCTGCATGGGACAAAACAGCACAGACAAAACAAATAGTAAGTCACTGCACTAGAGATGGACAAGTACATTTCATGGGGAACCAATGATGATTCATTTTGGCCTTGATCCTAAAAGCCCTTGCACAGCAGGATGTACAAGGCTGATGCACTCCGATGCAAGCGAAAGCCACGAGTAGGAGCAAACCAGGGCAGGCACTCTGTCTCAGTCTGCTGCATGTCAGACCCCTCATTCACAAGTGCACGGGGCAGAAGATGGTGGTGGGAAACTGGACAGGTCTAAAGATGGATGGGTTTAAGTATGTTTCTCATCATGCTAACAAAGTTCTTAGCTATGTGCACCCTTCTATATCTTCACTCATGAGTCTAAGCAGGAGTAAATTGGGGCCAGCTTTTCAAAAGCTCAGCTTGTTGGGCGCACGTTGGGTGCTCAGCTCTTTTGAAAGCCTGGCCCTCAGACCCTATTTGATACCACTGAAATTAATGAAAAGTTTCCCTATTGATTTCAGCGGGCATTGGATTAGGCCCCTAGGGAGTACTCAGCAATGCTCGTTAACGCAGGATTGAGTTCTCCTACACTCCTCAACATGCTCATTACTTATTATGTATTTATTTGTGCAACACTCCACACCTCTGCTGTGCAAGATCAAATCTTATAAACCCTTTAATTACACACTCAATTAATGGGCTTTGGGGGCAAATATTGTCATTTATGCCTCCCAAATTTTTTCATTTTTAAAAAAGGACTTTACAAAATATAATCGTAATTTTAAAAAAACATGCAGCTGTTTAGACAAAAACATCCCCACTGCACCATTTTCAGCCCAAACATTGCAGTTTTGTGCCAGTGCATGAGAACAAGAAAAGCGAAGCAGATTAAGTACAGAAGCACAACTGACTAAGGCCCCCGAACCCTCAAGCTGCTACGGTGGGGAGCAAACCCTTTGCACCCACACAGAGCCCCAGCAGACCTGCTCATAGCAGCTTGTAGGATCAGGGTCTAACCAAGTTGCCATGTGCAAAGCTGAATGAGTTGTGGAAAAAACAAAAATCAGCACCACTGGCTTTTTTTTTTTTTCTTTTAAAAAAAAGTGTTTAGGATGACTATTAAATTTAATTTGTGAAATAACTACAAAAATATACCACAAGGGCATTGGTGAAGTTTGTCAGATGGATTTGCCTTGAGATACAATCCTGTATTCAGTAAGTTTTGCACTGTCCCCACAAAGAGAGTGTTTATAAGGTATTAAGTGAACTCAAATTTAAAAGCAGACAAATAAAAGGGGGTAGCTAGAAAATCATTTTGTCTGGATCCAGTACTCCTAGAAAACCCCTGAAGTTTTACACCTTTTGCCAGTCCTTTGTTTGAGATTGAGCAATAAGAATGTGTTGCAATTCTGAGATAAGGGGAAGATGTCACTGATTCCAGCTTTTCACACTTGGGAAGAGGAGAGCAGAGGAATTCTAGAAACCTTGCACTGATGCAACAGCACTGCAGCATTGCAGGCTGGACTACAACAGAGCATAGACACTGCTTGGTGCTTAAGGGAGGAAACCTGAATATTGAAGGGGCATAGAGTTTCAAGAGGAAAGACAAAATTGTCACTGGATGTCAGACACAGATTTACATATGAAAGTCATGCACACTATTGGTTTGTACATTTAAAGACTACAGATTGCCCAGGAAAAGACAGAGATCTCGTTACCCAGAGACACAAGCACACAGAGTTTTTTTTTACAGTAGATATTTAATGCCAGGGACCTCTGAATAAAGAATGACTTTCATGTTCCTTGAAATCAATGATTGCTCTAGGGCCGAATCATTATGATTCAGCTATTCCAGCATGAAGTCAGTCACAGACAGCCTGCGCAGTCCTCGGCTTTGAAGATGTACCTGGAATAACTTCATCCTGGCAAGATTCCCTCAAATCCAATGAGGTCATCAAGATGGTGGAACGTACTTATTCATAAAGGGCAGGCTGGAGCATTTTGTGTCCAGCCCTGAGCAAGGTCCACTCTCACAATGCCCCTTCAGGGGTTTCTGCCAGGGAAAGTGAGTGTCGTAGGAGTGGGAGATGCAGGGGGGTGGAGAAGGAAGGAAATGGTATACTCAGATAAAGCCCTTTTCAGGGTGGAGCATAATCCTGGCTGGTGAGACATGGCTCCAGGTAGTCCTCACCCCTCCCTGCGAGGAGCATATGCCACACGGTCCATGTGCTCCCTCAGCAGCTGAATGCAGGTAGCTAGGCCAGGAGGGGAGGGGAAATCCTTAACCCCACACCCTCTTCTCACACAGGCTACTCTGCACAGCCATGCAATGTTGAGTTAAATAATAAGAGTATCAGTTTCCTACTTTGATAGTGTTGTCACTTACAGAAACAAGCCAACCTAGAATGTGTACAACCAATTATGGGTTCACTGATCATGGAGATTTTACCAAGTAGTTAAAGCTGGAGGTAACAATTTCCTGAGTAAATTACAACATCTGATTCTCTGGCAGCTCCTGCTTTTTACCTCAGGATATAATAGTATTTGTATGGCTGAAGTTGCCAGCTCGTGTGTTATTTGGTGTACACCTTAAAGCTCCAGCTTCTGAAGTCCTGTGGTTAAATGAGAATCTCAGTTTTCAGCTAAAAAAAGTTAGTTTCTAGCTCTCTGGTCATGAAAAAAGCTTGCAAATGTAAAATGTGAAGGCTCAAAAAACAGAAGGCAAATAAAGAACCCCGTATGTATTAATTCTGAAAATCTCACGAAGGCAAGCCAATCTCATGCTTCTAATATGCTTGAGGCTGGAAAAATCAAGTCAAGTGAAAACTGAGAGGCCAGATATGAGCCTTCATATGTTCTTAAAACCTCTGTTACCATCCCAAACCCACCCTGCCTCCCACCATACTCAGCAACACCAGCTTTTGACTCCCTCCTCGCAAACGTAATGGGAACAAAAACTAACTTGGCTGCCTTACTTAATGCAATTGTTTTCTTTTGCGCAATGGGCTTTAGTGCATGGACCTACAACGATATTATCTGGGGTGTTTGTGTGTACCTACTAATTACCTCGACTGGGGGCACTCAGAAATAGAATGTGTGTCATATAATCTATACAACCAATAGCTAATGGAGATTCTTGTTTCGTTCACTTGGCAGGAGCCTATGTTCTGGAGCAGAGGGCGAGGGTCAGGCTTAATCAGGTCTATCCTTGTCATCGCTGTGAAATTCAATGTAGCAAAGCAGCATAGCAACAAGCATGAATTTGGGCCCATGTATTGGTTACAGTATCTGCGCAGGATCTTTCTTCTGACTACATATGTAGCACCATCTTTAAAACAACAACAAAAACTCTTTCTTGCTCATTTATTTGGTGTGTATAGAATCACACCAATTTCCACAATATGAATTATGTGTTATGAATTGCACAAAGCCTGAGTTTTGTTCATCCCGCAGCAAGGTTATTTTCAAGATCTTTGAAGCTGCACTCAAGACAAAAGCAACGCATGCAAATAAATTCTTCAATTTCTTTTCACTTCCACATAGAACAAGAGGGATCTACTGGGTCTATCCATTAGAAACCTGGAGGAATTGGGAGACTGGAAATCAAATTCTTAATGATGCTGAAGTAATTAGTATATTACAATGGAAATCATTAGGGGACTAAGTAGCTCATGCTACTGTAACAGCAGAGAAACAGACTTCACCTAAGTGCTTTAAACTAGAGCGAGGCAAGTTTGAAAACTTCAAGCCCTATTAACTTCAAGCCCTATTAACTGGGGTCACCCCCCGCTTGCTGAAGACACATTAGCCGGCAAGCTAGTTTCCACGGGACTCCCCCAGGCAGCTTATAGATTCATAGAAGGTTAGGGTTGGAAGGGACCTCAGGAGATCATCTAGTCCAACCCCCTGCTTGAAGCAGGACCAATCCCCAATTTTTGCTCCAGATCCCTAAACTGCCCCCTCAAGGATTGAACTCACAACCCTGGGTTTAGCAGGCCAATGCTCAAACCACTGAGCTATCCCTCCCCAACTTTGGTTCAGATTCAGAAATTGACACAAACTTCAGATTCAATTATTATTTGTATTCTAGAAATGCCTACTGCCACAACACAATGGGCTAGGCCCTGCACACAGAGAGATAGTCCCTTTCCCAAAGCCCTTACAATCTAAGACAAGATTCAATGTTCTGGTTCAACCCACCACAGAATTAGGCTGTGATCTCTAACTTTGGGCTCAGCTACACACACTTTTTGTACTGCTATATTGGTTTAGCAACAGACATAGTTTAAGTGGTCTGACCCACATATAAAATTGTGTCCATGCTAAGGGCTATACCAAGTTAACTACATTGGTATAAACCCCGACTCCTAACAAATACTTAGATGGTATAATAATGTGTGTAGACCAGGCCTTAGATACTTATATGGCTCCAGGATCCTAGCACCTCACAATCTTTAATGAATTTACCCCCACAGCATCCCTGTAAGGCAGGGCAGTTCTAGTATCCCACTTGTACATATGGGAAACTAAGGCACAGAGGGTAGGTATGTGTACACAGCAGCTGGGGGGGTGTTTCTCAGTGTGAATAAACAGACTCACACTAGCTCTGCTCGAGTGCAGTACAAATAGTGTGGCCAGCAGCTCTGTGCACATGTTCTTTCCTTTTATATATATAGAAAGTAGGGGTCTGTTTCCTTTATATATTTGGGGAACAGAACCCATATATCCTGAGCCTCAGTTCAGTACTTTAACCACAAAGCCTTCCTTTATTTATTTATATATATAGACCATCAGCCCAGGAGCCTGTTTACCCAAGTACATTTAGATGGTATAGTGAAAAGTACGCCGCTAAAAGATCAGACAGAAAGATGAACAGGTGCTGCCTAAGTAGCAACTGTGCCCTCTTCTACCAGGCTGCCACATTAGTGCATCTCCCCATCTGTTCTGCAAGGACCACCACTAGAGACAAAGAGAGTGGAAGGTCTACAGGACTTGCTCATTGCCTAACCCCCTCCT